CATGATAATCCGGTTGTCTACGACATGATGCCTCATCACGTGTGTTCCCCGTCGAGTATGTTACCTTATTCCCCCCTCCGAAACAAAATAAAAAAGAATCCTGCTCACCAAACACGAGACTGCTATATACTTCCTGTGTATTGGAGCTCAAGATAGATACTGGGAGGTTTCCAGCTTGGTGGGAATTTTCGCCTTGGGCAGCAGTAGTTTTCCAGAATCCCGAACGGGTGTGCGATAAATAGCGCTGTTATGGCAACATGCGACTGAACATCAATCTGTTTTCCTGTTGAAGCTTGAACTTGAATCTGTGGCTCATTTGTTGAGTCCCGCTTGGTTACTTGTCCATTAACGATGCAAAGCCACGGGGTACTACTAGACTCTCTACCGTTACCATGAAATGACTCTGCAACATAAGAATGATCTGGTGGTACAACGGCGAACTCGTGCACATCAAGCCTGCTAGATACACAATATCATCTCTTTAGGGAAGAGGGTCGCATTCATGTGTTGCTCTTCCCGCAGAGGTTAGGGCATTGGCTTCACGCCTCAAAATCCTAAAGGTGGACGGAATCCCGATACAAGCCATCCCTTTCCACTTTCGTGCTCTGAAAATCTGAATCGTAAATGTCGAGCACCACTCCTAAATAGAGCCAGTTCTATATACCATGGATCAAATCGTGATGGCGGCCACTGAAAACAAAAAAATAATTTGTTGAAATAATTTGTTGATCCCCCTCCATCATTTGTAACGTGGAGACAGAATCAAACCCGAGCCTTCTGTCACCGAAACCAGACTCCTCTTCGTCGACGCCATTGCGAAGGAACAACCCTCGACGGATCCAACAGAGATGCAACCTGTCAAAAGGAGGTCTCCACATGTCTCGACCTCGACATGTCTCACCCAAAGCGCGTCCAATGGAGTCTAGCCTTGTCCTCGTCACGTCGTGACGCAAGTCCTCCTGAGGTATGCCCAGCGCGTCTTCCGCATCCAGCGACAGAAATCCGCACGGTATCCGGGCGAAGACCACATCGAACCTGCCGACACGTCCACGTCCACAAAAAATACGAGAATCATGCGGATCGCGAGGTTAGGTTGTGGCTGGCACTCATGGTGGTACGTTGTGGTGGTGTGGCGACGGAAATGGTAGCGGAACTTTTTTCTTCTAGAATAGTGTTGGGTGTCGCCATGTGTAGCTGTCGTGCCGTGGATATCCCACTACTATTAATAGTCAACACGAACGACAACAAACCTCTGTTTCACGTGCGTGACGCGTGAGGTGGGGCTTCTGGTTTCCAGTGAGGTGACGAACCGCCTATCTTCGCTCATGCGGTGTGGTACAGCTGTGGTCTCCTTGTCTTGTCGTCCTACAGCAGTTGGCACTAAACTCACCCGATAAGTACGAATGCATCTGTTTTCGAACCTGATCGCCAACAACGTGCTTGCTGACGCAGCTGCGGGGGCCCTATTTACCAAGAATTTTCATCATGGCGTGGGCAACTAGCTAACTCAGCACCGCACTCCGAGTTATCCCGCTTCCTTCTTCGGCGACTTCTGCTTCTTTCTTTAGGCCTGACACAGAATAGCTTTAGCTCAACCTTCCGAGAGACTAGTATACCATCTGCTGCTCATCCAGGATGACAGGGTGAAGCTACAATCAACAAAACGAGACTCGTTTATGACCTGCTGCTGCTTCAGGATGACCGAGTAAGGCTATCACTCAACCAACCGAGGGTGTGCGATACTTTGCACAACTCACGTGACGTTAACGGTGGGGTTGATGGTAGAGTTGACGAAGAGATTCTCGACGGTCTCCCTCTTCATGGAGAACACGAGCTCCCGCCAAGTCAGCACCAAGACCGCACCCACCAGCACGATCGTCACCATCGCGCCGTGCACCGTCGCCCGCTGAAACTCACGCTTTGGTCTTTGGAATGAGTGCCAGCAGGAGGCAGCGGGAGCGGCAACCGAAGCAGGTTGGGAGGTTGCGCGAACGTGAGGGAGTACAGCACAAAATAGAGGGGAGGAGGGGGCAGGGGATGACGACTTCGTACTACACGAGTTGGAGCAGTACTCTGTTTTCGAGAAGGAATACGAATGAGTAGTCTACTAATTGTGCTGCTTCTGTGTATGACCTCTTTGGCCCAAGCGGACGCGTCGCGGGGAGAGGTGGTAGCAGGAGACGCAGCAGCATTGGTTCACAAAACAGCAGGTATTCGGGGGGGGGGAAGGCAAACCTAAACGAGTCCTCTATCGTGCCAGGGTCGTCCTGAGAGCACAACAAAGTCTACACGCAATTATGTTGGTTAAGCGGGGAAGTAAGCCAGAGCAACGGAACAAATTTCAATTTCTGTACTAGAAAAACGGTTGGACCTCCTGCAGGTGGGAGGAGGTTCACAGCAGTGTCCTTCATTTGGAAAACATCATGGTACTCGGCCCTGCGAAACAACTTCAATGGCGTGGTCTCCAACAGAGTGTCCCGACAAGCCAAGGGTTAGGGTTTGAGATTGGAACTACAGCAGTAGGACTGCTGTTCAAGCCCATCAGTGTTTACTGCAGACTGCGCCCGCCTCCTGAAGATGCCCATATCTCGGAATCGGTGTCCACGGCGTCATCCAAATTGTGGAATGACAGGGCAGAGTTTTTTGCACATGGAAGTAGCGGACCGACCCACCCAAACACTCCAAGAGCTGCAGTGTATTTGCTGGACTACATGCTGCATGCAGGCGTCCGCCCAAACTACCAGGTTCTCGGCATCTCGGTACATTGTACTTGAGTAGCATAGCACTCGGGACGAAGGGGGAAAAGGGAACACATGTTTCCGTCGCGGCGGGAGGAGCTGGATTTCAAAACGCCGTGCCTCCCTGAATCACTGCTGTGCCGATCGCTTCTAGGTAGGCTTCAGTAGTTTGCCATCTGCTCTCCCTCGTATCAAGGGGCTGCTGCCCTCTGTACATTGTAGCAGCAGGACACACGATCTTGGCACACGGGTGCATTTGGCACAGAACTGCTGTGTGCTGTGTGCGGGGGAACCAGGCGAGTTCCGCCGCGTTTTCTCTATGTTCTCTCGTTCTCTTTGTATACTCTGTACTCTTGATTTCCTCTTTCCTCCCCCACTGCACACCTCTCTCGCACGCCTCACCGCGAGTAAATGTCCAGACGTTTGAGCTTCCGAAGAGATTCCCGGGACGCCCCGTTGCCTGCGCTGCTGCTGCCCTCATCACGACTTGCCGTAGTCACCCGTCGCTTCATCTCTGCTCTCTGCTCAATCGTTGTGGTTGTGTGTGCTTTGGATACAAAGACCGTCCAACGTTTGAATCGGAGAGAGAGAGCGTGCTAGACAAGGCTCAATCTCGGGATATGAATCCACAGCAGCTGATCATGTGCATCACCTGCAATATGACATCTAAAACACACACATGTTCTCTCGAGCAGCCAGCGCAAGGCGTGATCCCTGGCCCATCGCGCTGGAGAGGAGTTGCGGTTTGGGGGGGCTCCGCAATTTCATTCATATCCGGAGCACCGCACCTGCGCACCCCTCTGCACCGCTGTTGTTTTGTGTTCCGAAGCACAGCAAGGAAGATGCGTTGACAAGGGCAGTCGGGCCTCTTCTGTCACTCTGCTCTTTCTGTCTCACATGGAAGGAAAGGCAGAAGATGGCTACCTTGTAGGCGTCTCTCCCCGGAGCACGCCGCCCTCGAGCCGAAAGACCCTTACCCAGCTGGTCCAAGAAGAGCGGTTGGGCTCCCTCAAGCACCTCATCACGTCAAGCCCGCCCTCCCGCAAAAACAACAACAGTAGTAGCAGCAGCAGACCTCGAGCCGCTGCTGCACCTACTCCAGGCCGAGGTACTACTACCACCCCCGCGAGCGGGCCGAACAGGGGGACCAGGCACTCGCGAAGGTCTTCGAGGGGGAACAACGAGGAAGCGGCCGCGGTTGATTCGGTTTCCCGGAGGCGAGGGCTCTTCTCCTCCGCCACGAACACGTCCTCTGACGACAGGTAGGTGTGGGTGGGTCGGGAGTTGTGCCGAGAGGTAGGTTGCGTTTGGGTTACAGCAGTAGCAGCTGGCAGGGTGCTTCACAGCCAAGGCAGTCGATACTCGGCTGTTCTGTGGATATTGCACGTGTTGAATCGACGATAACCAGACAACGATTGACGATAACCAGCCCACGATTGATTGCACATGCCGGCGAGAAGGAAGATATGGCGGGAAGGGTGACTGGTGTACACGTACATCAACACCACGTATCATTGTGCGCAACGTATTCATTACTGTAGTTGACTACAGCAGTCGCACCTCGCAGTTGTGTCCATAAGCGGCAGGACAGCATGCGGACCTAAGAAGTTCTCTCTCTCTCTCTCGCTCTAGAGGTCTCGCTGATGTTAAGCCAAGCCAAAGCTGCCTGTCGGTGGGATTTAGTTGGTGGCGTACCTCCAATGTACTTCACTTCACCTTTTAGCCAGCTAGCGAGGGCACGCTGCAGCCATCAGAATATTTTTGATGTTCACGAGTGTCTCACAGCTTCGTCGAAGAAAAATGATGCACCACCATATGATAGGATCGCCAGCCTACGATACTACTTCTAGATGAAGCCCTCCTAGTTCTCGCGAATAGAGAGACATGCAGCACACGCACTACAAAAGTTGACCGTGTGTGCATGGAACTGCAGCAGCAGTCCTTGATAGACTGCTGCCCACAGTATGCCTAACAGGTCTACTCACGGCATTGACCCTGTTCAATCTTTTCCCGCTTTTCCTTCGACTGGACTCACACGTAAATATCCTGAACGTACGGCATAAGGTAGTCTTTCTGTGTTTGTAATTATTGTTCCTAATATGACCAAGGCCTCAAACCTCACCGGTGTCCAGCAGCGGCCGTCGACCGCCGTTCGGCGTGTACCGCCTCTCCATTGGCACCCCCGAGCGAGCTCCGGCCGTGGGCAGCGGCAGCAGCAGCAGCGAACAAATCAACAGCAGTTCTTCAGCATGTGCGGGGCAGATGGGACGCCGGTGGTGGCCTGGATCGGACGGATCGGCACCGGAACGAGGTACAGCATCGCCGGTCGACGAGCTTCTTAAACTGACAATATGTTTTTTTGTTTTGTTTCGCTGTTGGTTTCTTGCAAGGATTATGATTTGACTACTGTCCAGCGTGCTCTTGTCCTAGTGATGTGTAGCGTTGTCAAGCTTTGCTCTCCTGCCATTTGCTTTATTGTAGGGTTTTTAGATGAACTTGTGGCAGGGACTCCCCCCCTCCCGCCCAATGGGTATGCAGGCCGTTGTTTCGGGTATATGACTGAGGTGCAAGTGCGTCGGAGATCATGAGGCAGCTGGCTGATGCTTCAATCCTACACCAACTGCGCGTAGGGATAGTCTAGCGCGCAGGAAAAGTCTAATTCGCTTGATAATGTGCCGTCGAGAGGACGATGACGCGTAGACGAGTCCGATTGTGCTGAAGCCCCACTCTTGTACGAATAGATGTATGTCCATCGGCGGCTTGCAAGTGGTATTCCTTCACAAATAACAGGCGCAAGTGTCGCACGCAAACGATTTCTAAGCTGTTTGTGTTGGCTGTGCTCCCGCTGCTGCTGCTGCTGCCGTCTTTTCCCGGCATGCACGTACGAAAGGAGCGGAGGGGCGCGCGGCCCAGCAGGCGAGGGAGGCCGGGCTGGTGTCCGCGGGGGGGGCATCGGCTAGAAGGTCGTCAGGCGGTGGCAGTTCCAGCCGCAGAGCTAGCAGCGGCGGCGGTGATAGCAATGGTGGTGTAGGCACTCTGAGCAGCGGCGATGGCAACAATTCGTTTTTCGGTTACGGGGATGAAGACGAAGATGACGAGGACGACAGTGACGACTACGACGGGGCTATCTCCCGACGAAGACGGCTGCAGCACGGGTGCTGCCTTTGTGTTGGGGTGGCGTGGACGGCCGCGCTTCTCCTTTGCCTCGCAAGCGGGGGGTCCACCGCGTGGGGGGGCGGTGAGGCCTTGGAGGCGGCAGCCGCCTGCGCCTTGCTCGGGGCCGCGGTGCTCGCGGCGATAGCGTTGTGCTTAGGGCTGCCGACGTTGTCGCGGAACGAAGACACGGACAGCGAGTGGTGGTGCTGCTGGTTGTGGAGGAGGGGGGGCGACGAAACGGACGACGAGGGGGGTAAGCTGGCGCACGTCGGCGGGGTAACGTACCTGGCGATCTGATGGCTCATCATTCGATCTTGTTCCAGTCTACGCTTACATGTACACTCGAAAAGCGGGGAAGGTTGGACGTACCGGTGCTTGGCGGGGCGCCGCCGTTTTCAGAAGGTTTTAGTTTGGTTTGGAATGCGTGAAGCGCTTGGCGTGAAGGGCTACCGGTTGCATTTGACAGCGGGGTTCGAATCGCGCACATCATGTATGACATATTTTTCCCACTATCAATTTGTGTTCTTTCAATTGGAACAAACAACACAACGTATTGACGCTTCCGCAAAAGAAGGGCAGCTGGCGTCGGTTGACAAGTTTTACTTTTCCTACCTGGGCGAAGTTTTTAGATGTTGTTCCCCCATACGGGATGCAACGTAACATCTGTACGTGTTAGGCATTGTGTCGTCGGCGTCTTGGAGCAGCCGTTAATTTATTTCTTTTGTAGTGGCGTGGCAGGCTTTCCAATATCAAGCCGGAGTACGTAGCTGGAGGTGACACGGTCCTGAAGACGTTCAACGGGAGTGGGTAAGCTGGAGTTTTGCCTGTTTTGGCACCGTTTGCCACTCGTCGTGCACGTTGCATGGAACACCCTACGGAGGCAATGCCCCTGCTTTTCTGCGAGGGACTGGGCCCTGACGGCCTGTTGAAGGTTCGGTACATCACTTGACCGGTTGTATATTTTTGCACCAATGCAAGTGCGTTTTCCGTTTCAGCTCGGCGACCTCTTTGGACTAGAATCTCTTGGCTTCTTTGGCACAAGGGGGCGAACAACTTGACATTCTTCTACATAGCATGGGACAAACCGTGGCGTGGATATTTACATATTGCACATACACCTGAAATGTATTGATATGCTGAGGGAAAGAGTGGACGAATGCCACCTGAAACGGGTGGACCCATGTTGGTGTTAGGTTTGGTGGGAGTTTCATTAGAATAGCATGGCTATGTATTGGGTGATTACGTTCTTCACCTCTTGGCGTTTTTCGCTTTGAATGGTTTGCGGGGATATGTGCAAGGGTGATTGGTACTTTGTATCGTCTGTTTTTTGTGTTTGCTCGAGGGCGGAGGCTTGAGCTCCCCCCCACGATCGAATCACAACGTTTGTTGTGACGTGTGCTGGAACGATTCTGGACTTGCATCCATGTGCTGGGTATAGTGTTCCGAAAAACAAAGGGTATCTACGTGTGTGTGTACTATTGTAGGGCGCCGAGCGAGGCGTTGGTTGACGTACACCCCTTGTTGACTTTGGATGTCGTTGTCGTTGTTTTGGTCTTTGTCCGAGAGACAGACGAACTCACTGACTCTGCTGCTGTACTCTGTACCCCGATTCGAGTTCCATCTGTTGTTTCCCCTTGTTTCCTCTTGCGGTCACTTGGGTTCAAGTCCGAAACGGCGTGGCAAGTATCTCCGGCGCCTTCCGTGGTGCGAGAAGTAGCAGACACATATTTTGCCGTCCCATGATAAAGTAGTTTTTTCGTGTCTGGAATCGGTATGTTTTTCGCTAGTGGTAGCACGTACTCTTGGTTTTTGGGATAGGATGCTCTTCTCTAGACTACACGCTGTTTTTGGGTTAGCTTGTCGCCACGGACACTCGTTTGTTTGCCCTTTTAAGAGCAGAAATAGAGGACTAATTCGATTGTAAAGGTCAGGGAGGGATGTTTTCGATGTGTGACGGAAATAACGACGACACAAGCAAGCAAGCAAGCCCACTCATCGTGTAGTTACGTGTTCTATGCTCTCGTTTTCAAGTCCGCAGTGTTAACACGATTCTCAGTCGACCACTTAGCGTGCGGCAACGGGTTTCCCTCTTGTGAGACTAGAGCCTTGCGGTAAGGCAGACACCGCAGTGTTACCGTAGCAGGAGCAGGGGGAGAAAGCGAAGACGAGGTCGCCGCGAGCGCCCCTCACGAAGACGGCGTGCCCAAACGACGTCAACGTTGGTCGTGATTAACGATGGAAGTCTTCGCTTTTAGGCGCTGCCTCAGCTCGTGGTTCGTTCTAGGGGTGCATGTGTGACCTGGAAATCGTCCTGCTGTATGCTGCCCTATTTATAGTTTTAATCGCTAGGGCGGGCGGCCAGGGGTTTCAAGGCCACTCCGATGTTGCAAGTTTAACTAAGTATGCTGCATGGCTTAATAATGCTCTGGCCGTGTCGTCCGCAACTACTTGCATACATGACGGGGCGATTTTCGGAAGAGATTCGCCACGAAAAGCATGTGCGGGAGGGGAGGGCACCTACTGTTGTGATATGGGTACTGCACATGTGTTTGACGGTTTCGCGTGTAGCACCCTGTCAATTCCATTGGGCACGAAAACGATGTTGCCGGCTGAAAGCGCATCAGTGACGGGTAACATTTCTCTTCGTTGACCGGGACTGAAGGACGACGTTGCCGCCTGTCGAGGCCTGGCGTAAATACCTGCTATTAGTTCACCTGCGGTGTTGACCCAAGAGTTCTGTACACACACATCGATTGTTTCGTGTACACAAGTGAAGGTGGCGTGATCGCGTGCACCTACAGTAAACACCTCAAGCACTACACGTGGCGTGCACCATCGTTTCTTGCCCGAAAAATGTGGCGCCATGCCTGAATCCCCGACGAATCAAACATTCCTGAGACAGACGTTATTGAAGGGTTGCTGTTACCGCCCATATGACGTCAGGCACAAATTCAAATGCATTCCAAGTATGTGCCAGGTATGATAGTGATACCTCTAGACATCCTATCCTACCGATTGTTTCGGGGCCTAAGTTTGCATGCATATTAGGCAGCCAAGGGGTAGCTTTGACGTGTGTGGGTTGGGCTCGTGTGGGTTAGGTTTGGTGTTGCGTTTTAGGCCACTTCCGCGCATTATGATTCGTCGGTATGTTCGCGTATAGCTGTGCATATGTGTGTCGGTGTCTCTGCCCCAGTCTCTGCCGCCACCCACCACCCACATTATCTGGAATGTGACATACCAGGTTGTTCTCTTGTTGGTGTGTCGGCTGCCATAATCACTGTAGTTAGTTGGAGCAAGCAAAAAACACAATTCGCGTTTTGGCGCCCTTTGGTTGGAGCGGAAAAGCAACGCTCCCAAAAAAGTATATGCACCCACACGGACGCATATAAGCCATGCACCCACACCTTTTTCACAGACAGACGGAAATCCTGTGTGATGATAAACGAGTGTCACGAACATGTACCGTTTCTTGTTTCTTCCACCTGTCGCTCTACTACAGGCTGGCGGCGCAGTTGTCTGTTCCTCCAACCAGCAACTGGCACGAAACCGGCTAAATCCCCAACGCTAACCCCAACCCTAACCCCAAACCCCAAACCCCAAACCCACCCAAAAGGTGCTAGGTTAACGTTGGGTGGCTCAGTTGTAGGTTGTTGTGTGCCTGCATTAGGGCTAGGTTAGCGCTGGGTGGCGCAGTTCTGGCTTGTTGTGCCTGTATTGGGGCTAGGTTGGCGATGGGTGGCTCAAATCTAGGTTGATGTGCCGGCATTGGCGCTAGAGGTTGGTATTGATGGGATAAATCTCTAGGTTGGTATTGCTTGGATAGGTGATAGGTTGGTGTTTATGCGATCGACCTAGGTTGGTGTGGCTTGGATAGGTGCTAGGTTGGTGTTGACCTGGGTAGGTGCTAGGTTATGTGGGCCTACGTGGTTGTGTGGTTCCGTCGGTAAAAAAAGGTGTGGGTGCATGGCTTATATGCGTCCCTGTGGGTGTATCGAATATTTTTCCGCTCTTGACCCTGCGGAGAAGTGGGCGATGGAAGTGCAGGTCTGCTGGAATCATCCTGGAATGTAACTGTTCCGTTACATATATTTAGTCGACGTGTCGAACCATGCTGCTCGCAACCATGCAAGGTGTCTCTCTCTCACGAGTCGGGTTGGACCGAGCAAATAATATGCTTCGCGAAAGTAGATGGCCGACGGAGGGGTCTGCAATCCCGTCAGGTCAGGCGATATTTCCGACAACCAAGGCACATTTCCAGAGAACGTTGGTCCGCGGAAGGAAGGTGTGTTCTTGTGTTCACCCGTCCCATCTCTTCTGGCGTCAGTCTCCACACCATTCGGTGTAGACTACCGTCCAGTAGGCTAGACTATATGCGCGTATCAGCCGGGGGCGGGGCTACCCCGGACTTTTGTGACACGGCAGGGTGAATGTGGGCGTCGACCGAATTGTTGTTGTTGTTGTTGTTGTTGTCTTCACTACCCTCATTTGACGCTGATGATGTAGACCACGTGCCGACGGCCGAGTCGCTTCTTTGACCACAGGGTATACTATATATAGTCTACCCTGTTGTGGTTGTTTACCCTTTCAAGCAGATTGATACATACCTTGGGGGACCACGCGGCTACACTGTACGCTCAACGGAAGAAACACAATGCCCCACCTCCCGAGAAAACTGCTACGAGCCACATGCTCGCTGATCAGGTCAGGTCAACGTGATATATACAGATTAGGTACATACGTGCTCCTGAACACGGACGGTGTGCACACTTAGAAACAGCGAGTGTGTGCGATCGAGGTTGTCCCACACTCCGTTGAAAAAACTCAGGCTATTTCTTCGTATATTCCCTTGCCGCCCAGATTCACCATGCCCGGAAATACTGCATAGAAGTATTATTCGTCTCCTCCTGAACCCAGCAACCCCCTGAAGCGTTCTTTGGCGGCTGGGGCATACAACTTACAACGTGCTTTTCCACGCTCCCCCAACGACATGCTGGACAATAAAACTACGAACACGCGTAACTAAGTCGTGTTTTCACGCCTGAGGTTTCCGTTTGAGTCCACCATCCCCTCCTCCCGTAGCAAGCGTTCCGCCTCCTCCTCTGTCAGCCCGTCTATCACCCCCTCCAACTCTGCGGCGGACAACCCAGCCCCCTCCGCGGAGTCCCAAAATTCCTGAGGAGGGGGGCGATGCAGTTGCACGGACGACGCCTCGTCCTCGTTCTCCAGAGAAGCCGGTGTACCGTTCCCTGCGTTCTGTTCACCCGACTCTAAGTTTGGAGGGGTTTCCTTTGCAACCTTCTGGGGAGAATCGAGATTTGCAGGGTCCATTTTGTTCCCTCCATCGCCGCCGCCGCCGTCCGGCTCTAACTTGTTGCCTCGTCTCATCTCTCGGCCAACCTGCCCATTTCCACCGCCGTTTCTGTTGGCTCCAGTAACCGGATGTTGGCCTTGTCTACCCTCGTTATCCCCACCGGCACTACTACCACCGTTGGCGTTCGCGTGTTGCTCCTTAATGCGCAAGGCGGCCCTCAGGAGCCCTCGCCATCCCCCCCCCCCCGTTTCTTCGAAGCTTTCTGGCGGGTGGGGCGGGGGTAGGACGTGGATCTCTCCTGTGGTATTTTCTTCTTCATTGTTTCCTCCGCGACGTCGAACGTCCGTTGTGTTTCTCTCAAGATCTCGACCCTTGGGCTTGATGTTCTCGCCGTTTTTGACGTCGCCCACGGCATCGTTTGACACCACTGAATCCGTTAACAAGGGGGGAGCGGCCTCGTCACGGCGGGTATCGCTGTCGTTGTCTCGTGGCTGGAGGGATTGGCTCGCTCGCCTATGGCGTGTGGTGTGGTATTATTCAGAGGCGTGTGTTTCAAGCCAACGCCAAGTAGCACGGATAAAGGCAGACGCAGGACGCGTGCAAGGGAGGCGGGACAAAAAAGATTAATGTTAGCCACACATCAATAGGTTTCGCTCTGTGAGACAGGAAGATTGAGCACGAGAGGTTGGTTTTGCAACTGAAAGGTCTTGAGGCGGCTGCTCCGTGTTCATGACCGTATCGTGGAGGCAACGCTGACGTGCTGTATGATCAAGAGAACCAGGTTCATCACGATCGCGAGGGCACAACTTGCGTAGAATGCACAACGTTTTGAGACGAACGTAGCATTCGTATGCCATTGATCCCACAGCGAGGAACGAGGTAAACAACAGAGCCATGTTCGAACAGAATCACAACAGAGGTCAGCTGCACACAAATACAACCACACCGCAGCACTTTGCTCTCCTCGTCTGACCTCAGAACACGATCGATGTCCACCTGGCTAGGGGCTTGGGTAAACCTTTCCGCGTTGCCCGGCGCACGGACCCTCCGTCTTTGGCTCCCAGGAGGGGACGACAACCTGCTGCCCCCCCCCCCACCCGTAGCCACCACTACCTCTGCCGAAACACGCCTCCTTGCCCCGCTCCTCGGATATGGGACTTTTCTTGCAGCCTCCCCTTCAAACCCCTCTCGTGCCGAGGGACCAGAGAAGGACCACCGACTACTACCGCGCCTGGAGCTGCCACCGCCGCTCCTGTTTCTTCCCGCCGCGGAAGGGGAAAAGGTGGTCGACAGAAGGTGATGCCTTTTGTCTTCTCTGTCGCCGCCGTCGGAAAAGGAAGGCTCTCTCGAAAAGTTGCCCCGCTGAGGAGAGTGAGAAGACGAGGGCAACAACCGGCCGGAAGGAGATAGTCGCGATGGAGTTGTTGCCGACATCCTGGGGGCTCCTCCCGAAGCCGAGTACCTAGCCGCGATCACGGGCCCCGCTCCCCCACGTCGCCCCCCTGATTCCCAAGCGGACACCCGTCTACCCGGGGACCAAGGAGAGCCTCTCTCTTCCGGTTCTCCTTCTGGCAGAGACTCGAACGACTCATCATCATCA